CTTGCTGTCAGTGAAATTATCAAAGGCATTTTTCAGCTGGTGCACCGGGAAAGCATGTGCTTCAATGCCAACTAAAACAATAACGAGGAAATGTTATGATCAGACTTGACCAAATGACCTTTCCCATTTTAGATTAGTTCTTAATTTCAGCACAAGGGTCATCCTGTGAGAATACTCACAATAAGTCACTGCTCACCTCTCACATGAAAAAGAAGTGACTTATTAGAAATCTCACTGTACTCATTGCAGTTAATGAGATGTGGAAAGCTTTGTAATTTGATTTGCTGGACCATATGCTGTAAAGGGATACTGCTGATTTCATTCCTCCACATTTAATTTAAGCAGTATGCAATGGCTTCTTCGTATGGCTACTTATATAATAAAAATTAACTTGAAGTATAAAAAAAATACACCATTGTGGGGTTTATTACTCTGTGGTTGAGTTTCAAGTGTTTTTCATTGAAACATCTGTAAGTAATGTGTAGGTCTAATTTTAAATCCTGGCAAATATTTTCCATTTAACATTTGGTTTTTACTGACAGGCTTGGAGTGGAGGTTTTCAGAGCTTGTCAGTAACAGATATGCATTTTCAAAGATAAACATTTTTTTAATTGAAGATAACTGTAATTCAATGCTCACTTTTCCAATCCATCCTGTGTTCCAGCAGCTGCCAGCAGCAGTGCAGACGCTCATCCCCTTTCCTCCAGACCCCTGCAGCAGCTGGCCCATTCCCACGTGGTGTCAGGGGCTCGTCGTCACTGACAGACTTGGACCTGTGGGGTGATGGTGGGGCCAGCAGTGGCATCATCTTTTGGGGATGTCTCTTCTGGATGCCCTGTGTGGGGCGTTTCAGTCCAGAAGGTGGATGTGTGCTTGGTGCAGGGTGGAGCTTGGCAGGGCCTGGACCACAGTGGCTCACCGTCAAGGCTGTATTTCAGGTTATTTGATTTTCGGCTGCAGACAAAATGAAACAGCTTGAACAGACAGGCTGGGCTGTGCTGCCTGTAAACTTGGAGGCTGGGCTGCATGTTTGGTGTGTGCTGCCCTGCCATGAATGGTCTCCTGGTGGCAGTGCTTCGTGAGAGAGATCCAGCCGTGGCTGGGCAATAGGATGGACATACTGGTGTGAAGGGCCTGTCTGAAAAATGAACACCAAAATTGTTTTCAAAAGGAAGCATTGGAAGCTGAGAATACCAGACACTCACTGATTTCAACTGAAAGCAATGTTATGGCATTGTTTGCAGTTATGGGTGAGGTGTCCATTGGCTCTAAGCGTGTGACTACATGTGTTCTAACCTATCCTGTTGGTTAAATCTGACACCAAGCCAAGAAGTCCTGTTTGGAGTAGTGTGGTGGAATGTGATGAGGGAGCGGGAAGGCTGCAGCCGTGCTGTGGCAGGGCAGGTGGGTGGAGGTGGCCATGCTGTGAGGTGGGTGGGCACGTGGGGTCGGTGCCAGGCAGGCTGCTGCTGTGCTGCATCTCCTACCATGTGAGCTCTGCTGGTCTCTCACTGCATTTTAAAAAGTTGAATTCTGCTTCTATTGAGGAAGAATAATAGTGAATTATTTCCCTTCAACCATTATTGTCATTTTGTTGAACCCTGAACCACAGCTGCAGAAAATTAGGCCTGGGAGCAGAGGGATGAGCAGTGGTGGGGAGGCCTGAAGGATGCCAGCAAAGGCACTCTTTCTTTACTACTAAAGAAAGCCCATTTCTGTTTCATTTGAAGACTGCCTTTAATGCTTGGTGAATGAACATGGTTTTGGTTCAGCTGCTGTATCAAAAACAAAGGCTCAAGTCAGCTCTTTGGGAGTCTGAGGTCCGAGCCTGCCTTGGGTCAACCATGGCCCTTTGTGCATGGAGCTACAGATTAAAAAAAAATAACAGCAAAATCAGGCTTCATTTTTAACATGTTCCTGTTTTCTTTCATCAGAAGTTTTGAAATGCTTCACAGGAGGTTGTTGATAGTCATAATCTCAACCATCGTGATTTCTCATAAGCACTGAGAGAAACTGCAGCTTTACTGAATGTAGCGTCTGTTTTAAATGGCGGGTGGTTCACTTCTTTTTAATATGAGTTCAAGCACAGAGGCAAGTAAAACCTAATGAAAGTGCCTAGAAGATTTTGTTTTGATACCCCACAGCAGCCCTTGTTTATACTGAAGGGGGAAAAGATTTCTTTATAGCCAGGCCCGCAGAAGCCAGAAATTTAATCTTTCTATACAACTTATTTTATTGCATTTTTAATTTTCTCTTGCATTACTATGACCCTTTTCTATAGCTTTTGACGCCTGGTGCTTAATTACTTATCATTAGCAGTGTACATGGGGGCCTTCCTGCATATTTAGAAATGTGATCATTAGTACATGGGAAGACAAAGACTTCTTTAAGACCGTCATTAGTTATTCTGTTTTCATAGAAATGTTCATTAGAGAAACTACCCACCTGGTTAAATAATTATAATTAAGAATTGGTAATCTCCTTTGCATTTTTAACTCAATCTTCAGGATGTGTGTGCATAACTAAAGGAGCCTTGTTTGGCCATCATACTATCTTTTCTTTTCAATTTGAATTGTCAAGCAGGTTTAAATGCTGTGTTTTGAAACCATATACCCTAGGAATGATTTATGGAAATATAGGTTATTAACAAGAAAAAGAAAGAAAGAAATCAACCCAGCAATTATCTCTGAATTCATTAACTGTGCACTGGCAGTGAGAGGTTGTATAAGCCGTTTACTGTAGTGCGTGGTATGGAGTTAAAACAAAATGTCACCGGGGCTTGATTTCTCTGCCCCATCTGCGGTTCTCACTGCACACACCCAGCCTGATGAGCAACGCCTCTAGAAGAGTGTGATTTCCATTTTCTGATCGGGTATTGCTTGGAAATGCTGACAGTGAGTGCAGTTGTGTTGGTTATCCTGCTCGCGGCCATCATGGGAGCTGGTAGGAAACTCTCCCCAAATTGGTGTGTGCGCACCTCTCCACTGTGAGGCTGTGGGCAAGGGGAGCATGGGCAGAGGGAGGGCTCACCCCTACTGAGCCACAGGGATGGAAGAGCTCGTCAGTGGCATAAATATCATCTGTAAACAATTAAGCAGCTACTGCTCATTCAGGGCAGTTTTGAGAAGCAGAGGAAGTCTGCAATCAGTTATATCTCCAATTACCATAAAAATATATTAGCCATTCATTCATTTATTAATGATTCATCAGTTAACCACACATAATGAGCAAATAATTAGCAATGCTGTACGGTTGCCAAAATTGAAGAAGTGTTGGCATTTTAAAGATGAAAGGTTGCATTTATGTAAAAAGTCGGGTGGTGATAAAGTTAATGCAGAAGATAATTATAAAAGTGGCTGTCCTATTTTAGAGGCTGAGGTCCTGCAAAACTTGTCTAATTGAACTGAAATTAATATTCTTCAAAAGCACGCGTGTTACGGCATACTGGCTGCTGAATTTACTCGGAGATCTCCCTTCAGTAAGGTACGTTGCACAATACAAGTTAATAAAATGCCAGACAGCAAGACTGCCTTCTTTGTTTGCTTGGTTCAGGGCCTTGTGGAAAACAATAAATTGCATTCATGTCAGCCGAGGCCCATCCCTTTGCTAATTACTGTTTGGTGCTGAAATGACTTCTGTGAAATTGGGAGCATGAAGAAACACACAGCCGTACAAGGGAGGCTTTTCAGGCTACAGCAGTAAATGTGAGATAGGCCTTAGGCGCACAGATGTTAAAACAGTGAATTCCCCTACAGATTACACTAATGGAAACCCTGTCAGGGTAAGTCAAATCCGGGGTCTGCGGTCAAAATCTAATTAACGTTCCTGTACTTAAAAAGAATATGAATGCCTGGAGGTGAGGAAGAATATATAAGAAACTTGCTTGTTTGTAAAATTGCTCGTGCGAAGGGCAAGCAGCACCGAACCCGTCCGTATGAAGTAGCACCTGTAGCCAAGCTGCTTGTGCCACGTAATGCAGCACCGTGGGGCTTGGCCCCTGTGCACAACAGTGGCTGTTAGTGGCCGTGTCCCCACTCCTCGGCATCTTCAAACGCTCCCTTCGTTTGGCACAGTCGAGGTCTCTGTTTGGGAAGTACTCCTCGCTGAAGTTGTAAGACAGGGCCAGCATCTCTTTGTGTGAGAAATCGGGCTGCTCCGCGTAGGCTGGGCTTGAGGACACTACTGGGGCTCTTGCAGCGCTTTCACAGCTGCACTGTGCATGGCCTGTGCAATAGCAGAGGAAATTAATTTATAATGCAACAATCTCTTCGTTTTCTCAGCACAAAAATTCCCCAAAATACTTAAAATAACACTCAAAGTGGGACAGACCTTAAATTTTGAATAAATGAAACCCTAATCCAGTGTGTTTCTGAAACAAGCTTGTTATTAAAGAAATAAATTTGAAACAGCAAGTGGTTGGAGAATTTTGGATTTAATTATTTAAATCTACTTAAGATAACTATCTAGCACTGCGTTTGGGTTTCCTGTTGAGAGCATGTTTTCCAGGAAAGGAATCCCACCCAGTGCCTCGCCAGTGTTAACTTCCTTCTGCAACAGTATTTTCAGTAGCAGAGACAAATAATTAATATTATAATAAGGCAAAGCATTGTATGATTATGTAGTGATATTCATTTCCTTGGCATGTTCTGCCATGAAAGCTGCATGGAGCTATGTGTGGAGCTGGAGACACTGCCGTGCTCCTTGGCTAAATGGCACAGCCATTTAGCTGTGCTCCTTAGGTACCTGAGAGGGAAAGTCCCTCTGCAGTGCTGCAGGACCAGTGCAATTCTTAACACTTAGCTTGGGATATTATATGTGGTCATTGAATAGATAAATGTTGACTGTTGGTTTTTGTTCTTTGGTGGTTGTTGTACATATGAAGAGTTATATCTGTGGGTGTGTGCTTTGGTCAAAATCTATGATGTCGTCTTTACGATGCAAGATTGCTTCCAAGCATGGCACAGATAAAGAAAACAACAAATCTGCCTTTTCTTTTACAGGACCGCAACAGGAGCTTGCTGGAACTTGGCTCTCTATTTAGAGAGGAATTGAGGATGCCCCTGTTCTGTGCAAGGCCCAGGAGAAGGAAGAGAAGCAGGAGGAGCTGCCTGTCTCCAGCCACAGCCCAGGCACAGGGGATAGAGGTGCACCCAACAGCCACTGTGGTGCAGCTGACTTCCTCCACAGCCAGAAGTGGTGGGAGAAAACTCTGGTGCTGAGTCACGTTTCCTTCCTTTGAGCTCATGCTGGAATGGATGGACATGCCTGCACTGTGCCGGCAAGGCCTCACTGCGTGGCTTCTGCTGGGTGAGTGTACTGTATGTATGCTGCGAATAACATGGATGGTATCTTTGTGTTTGCATGTCCTCACAAGCAAGTTAGCTCTGGGTTCTAAAATACACAGCGTGTGTGAGGATGGTGTTTGAGACCAAAACCTAAAGGTCTGCCCTGTTCTCCTCATTCAAGCACGCTCACTGGCTTACCATATGGTTATTAGCAGTTTTTCCTTTTATAAGTCATTTTATACTTTCAAGAAAAGATAGTCCTATAAATACTTTTTTCTTACAGCGTAATGCCTGTGCTTATGTGTTACATGAGGCAGATGCTGACTTAAAGCTTAGTTCTTGCTCAACAGATCTTTCAGCCCACCAAAAGGGGTTGATTAATGTCCCCCTGCTGAACTATTTTTTTCCTCTGTTGCTTTGACCCATTGATTTAATTAAGGTCTAATAAAGAGAGGGCTGAAAGATTGTTAAAAATCTTTTCTCTTTTTTTCATGGGTCTGACCTATGCTGGTCTGTTGGTGTGTTTTTGACTTCTGTGTGCCCTCTTTAATATGTAAGCATAGTTCCACAGAGCTTGTCTTCTTAGAGCCAGTTGGCTTTTTTCCTCAATGGTAGATCAGATTTAGTTTTGGTTTTAACCAGAACAGTTGCTTTTCTGGAGACTTCTTATTTTAGTTAAGTAATAAAATATTGAAAGCAAGTCACAGTATCAAAAAGAAAGACCTCAGAAAGCTCAGCAATGACCCTTTCCTTTTCTGCTTCCTTTCCCATCTTCCTTTTGCTAGCAGAGAAAGAGATAAAGAAATAAAAACTCTGGTTTTGCTTTCCAATTAAGTAACAAGAATGAATGGAAGCTTACTAAACATAGAAGTTTTTTCACTAAAAGTTCCTGCTGTTTTTTCAGCTGACCCTATTCCTTATAACTTTGTGTCTTTCGTAGGCCAATGTTAGCGCTCAAGAACATGCTTCATGCTGCTTGTCATAGTGGCAGCCTCCCCTTTCCCTTCCCCTTTCCCCCTCTCACCAGCACTGCAGTTGTTACTCTAGGTTGAGAAGAGCTTTTCTCAGCGTGCTAATTTTGCTTCTGAGCAGGCTCATCTGTATCCAGTGAAAGGGAAATTGCCACCAATGTGCCCCCTCTTCACTGGAGAAGTCTCCGGTAGTGGTGCTCCCTGTGCTTTTCGGGCACACTGAGACTGCGCTGACAGTCATCTTAAGAAAAAAGAGTGGAGAAAAGACTAAGCTGCAACTTCAAGAAATGGTTCTGACATGCTTTCTGTGGCTTGAAAGAACAGCATTGCTATCGAGAGTGGCAATTTGTGACTGTGAGCCCTCCTAGACAGCTCTTGTGCTCGAGTTTCCACGCTGCAGCTCATTAGCAGAAGAGCTGCCTGCAGGGCTGTGCAGGTTTGCAGAAAAGCAGGATGTGCACTGAAATAAAAACCTGGTTTGTGGGGCTGTGGTCCTGGAGCCGGCTGGGCGCTGGCACTTCAGCTTGAAAGAGAATAAGCCACCTGGACGTTGGGACCACAGGGATGTGACACACCGCTTGCTGGGGGCCATCCCTGCCCTGTAAAGCGCTAAAGCAGGTGTATAAATCCTCCTGTGTTCACTGGGATTTAGGCATCTGCTTAAAGTTAAGCACTTGTTTAGAGAGTTTCCTGAAGGAAAGCCTGACAATTGTGCCCAAGAGTAACTTTGAAATTAGTTTTAATTTGCTCATCATAACCAGCTGTCATGAGGCTGTGTAAAAAAGCTGATTGTGGAGAGATGAAAGACTTTCCAGGCCCCCAGCTTTGGTGTCAGCGCCTTGCCCAGCACCCAGCCGGGTCCAGGCTGCGCCTTCCAGCCCCAGCCTTGCTCGGGACGTTCTGTGCTCAGCTTGGCCCTGCCTACAGGGAAAGCACCCAGCTGCTGCCCACCTGTGGCAACCTCTGCGGGTGGTGGTGGAGGGAGGGAAGGTCCTTTCTCTATTTAGCTGGAGAGTGCGAAATGAAAGAGGGCAGAGCATGCAAGGAGGGTAGGAGCTCTGTGTCCAAGCTAAAGGTTCAGCCAGACTTCCTGCTTGAAACACAAGCAGTACCACATCCATTTGTGTCACCTGAGTCAGAAACTTTCAAGGCCCCTTGCTTTTAGGGTATGTTTTCTTGGTAATCCCTTCTTTCTCACAACAAATTTGGAGGTTAAACTTAAAAATGCAGCAATCAAAGGAAAAATACCCAACACACCCTGACTGCTGTTTACATGGTTTACACGTGTCACTTAAGGCAAACAGGACTCTGTCCATGTAGCTTGGAGATATCTTATTTTTTTATAAAATACATGGTTAATTTGTCAGTGGATTATAGCACCATTTTCTGGCCCTCAGAAAAACTACACTATTTTCAGTGAGGATATTTTAGAGCTTTTTTTTGTAGAGTCCCTAGGTAATTAATCTGAAGCACACGCACATTTCCATATATCAGTGTGCTGGAGCAGTGGTGGGTGATGTAGTAGCTAAGGTCAGGTAGAAATCAGCCATGCATTTAGTCTCTTTTCCATTGCTTCACTCAAAATTCCCTCAAATTTAAATTAATCTTCCAGAAATGTATAGGAGATTTGGTTTATGATGGGAAAAAAAGAGCCTTGCATTATTATCCTATCGGTCTTCCCTTAGCATGATTTTGTGTGGTGGTTCAGCCTCGCCATGGCCAAACTTCAGAAGACTTTTGTTGTGATAAAGCACAAAGCTGCAACTGCTTCTTCATCTTAAAGCAGATGCCAGTTATACGGGATGCTGTACAGGGGGCGTAGGTTATCACAGAGCAGTCCCTTTGGGGTATCCCTTCAGGGTGGAATGGGGCTCAGCCCTGCTGGGAGCCAGGGGCAGGCTGGTGAGAAGGGCCCAAGGACACTGGGCACAGCTGGGTGTGAATGTGGCTGTGCTGTCTGTGCCCTGCCACAGCACTGCTGTGCTGTGATCCCTGCCCCAAAAATCCCCACTCTGGGCTGTGGCTTCCCTTCTCCGCCACCCGAAGCCTCTCCCTCCCTTGCAGTTTTCATTCCTTTCCTCCTTGCCAAGAACGCTGACTCCAGCCTGATCTGAAAGTTAATTTTAATAAATAACATCTTGGGCCAAGCCAAGTTAGGATCTGGAGATAGGACACACTGCGGGAAGGGAGCGGGGCTGGGGCTGTAAGAGAGCATGAACACTCAGTCTTGTAATATGTGTGAGAGCTGATGCTCTCTGAGCAATCGAGTGCTTATTATTATTTCTCTTGGATAGGTCACCTGGGAATGGAGGAATTTTTCATTTTAAATTAAAAAGAAATCTTTTATAATGCTCATTTCTGAAAGGAAAAAAAAGAAAAGCCACCTCATCATGGAAGCAATTAGATGGAGGACACATTGGAAGGAGTGACTAGTTGTTAATTTTTGAGCTGTTGACCCTGACAGAGGGGTTTTTTTTGACAGTTTTTTTTGAGGTGTCTTTCATATGCCTACAGTCCCTGGTTACTTCTCATTCAATAGCAATTACCGTATATCCATTTTGTGCTAGGGACTGCTCGAGGTGGATGCAGTGGTCCCTGTCAGATGTGTGCCAAATTGAAATGCCAGCAGCTGTGTGAGCAGCGGGATAATCGTATCTGCTGCTTCTCTCTTCCAAGTCCTGGTAAGTGTTTTAGGGAGTAACTTCCCCTTGCCTTGACACGAGCTGAAAATGCAGCCCTCTGTTTTGCATCGCAGATCCCAAGTCAGCCGTGTCAGGGTTTGACCAAGAATCAAGGAGGATAATGGGTCAGATGTAATTAAGAGGCAAAACTACTGGTGAAATAGCTGCACATTTTGGTTTCCTTTATTTCTGCCCATCAGATTACAAACCTCAGTCCCTTTACCACTTTAAAAACCAAATATGTAACTGCAACCCCTGTCTAACTGCTCTATTTTATCAGATGGAACCCAAATAGACACCACAATACAAAAAATAAGCACATTGTACCTTAGAAAAATATGGGGCTGAAAACTCAAAGAAAAAACACAGTCTTATTAAAATATGGATGTGGTCCAGTGATGGAATGAGTAGAGAAACTTGAATGGATTAGAGTCAAAAAACACTCTGCTTAATTCTTGGGGTTTTTTCTTTGCCATTCAGCTTACATCAGTGTTAACATCTACAGAGAAATGCAGCCATTTACAATTTGCAGTTCAATGTGTTACTTTAATTAGTATGAAAATTAAAGGGCAACTATAGGCCAATGTGAATGATTATGGAAATACATGTGCATCACATGCAGTGCTCTCATTTAATTAATCGTCTTGTAAACTATATCGAGCACTTTAAGTCAGCTGCTGAGTATAACAACTCTATTTTAAATAACCGCTTAATACTTAACAGGATGTGGAGAAAACACTGTAGCACACGACCACTTCTCAAGTTTCAGCGTCTGAGATTTTTTAAAGCTGACCCAAGTCAACCGAAGGAATGTTTAACACCCCATGTCTGAACACAAGAAACTCTGTGATGTGCAGACATTCAATTACATTTTTTAAAAAGTGAGAAGCGTTTTGTAAAATAGTGACTTTAGAAAACTAATTGGCAGCAGCAAACCGGAGAGTGAAGGCCAAAGTTAGAGGGGAACTTTTATTACAGTAACTCTAGTCAAGGAAAAGGGACATAAAGACATCTTTGTTTCTCAGTCAAATTATCTGATTAAGAAATAAAACATTTTAACGTGCTTTAAATGCAGCATTAATTATTTATATGAAAAAAATTAAAGCCAGGTTCCATGAATTACACTTTGTGTGTGAATTTAATGTTACAGGAATAGTAATCCTTTTACATTCGTGCCTTACTTCATTAGGCAAAATGAAATATTAAGGGTTCCATTCATTCAAAAAAATTCTTATGCATTCAGGTCACACTTTTGCTGTGGCCTCCTTTTTTTTTTTTTTTTTTAAGAGTACAATTTACAGCACTGATTTTTAACTGATTCAGAAAAAGCAATCTGCTCTTGCAGGATGGGCTCTAATAAATGGATGAGTTTGGGAAAGAGCAAAGGTACTGTGGTGGGTCATGTCGTCAGTGAAAAGGCCCAAAGTATGCGGCACTGTGAGGGTTCAAAGCTGTGTGAGTATAATAGATCATCAGATGCGTTGCTGGCAGGGAACCTCTGAACTGCGTGATCCCCTTTTCCTTTAGATTGGTCAGTAAATAATATTCCCTCTCATTTACTGTTTGCAATGACTAGGCATTGCTGCATTCAGGTGAATGAAGAACAGAGGCTGTTACAAGGGCGTATGTGTTCAGGGATGTACTTTTCTATTTTCCAGGCATCCCCATTTCAGCAGTGGTGTGTCCGTGCTCAGCTCTGCGGGAGGAAATCCATTGACTTAAGGCATGCTGATGCCTGGGGGATGCGGTTACATGCTCATCAGTCACCTGTCTGACTGCGAACCCACTGGTAGGGCGCTGGTGACTTAATGTGTTGTTTTGCTTATGGGGGTGTGAAAAAAACATAAGAGAACTCTGATGGTTTATCATTTCTGTTGTTTCTTATTTTTTTGTTTCTTTTTTTCCTTTTTCTTTTTTCTGAATGGAGAAGCAGCCAGAACTGTGCAGTGATGTTCACCTTTAGCTTTCAAAATATTTACAAGGTTCCCTTAATGTTAAAAATAATCATTTAAAAAGAGAGATGGGGGAAAAAAAAAACAAAATCCAAGAAAGAAATGACGAAAAAGGCCTACCCAGAAGCTTGCAAATCGTCAGCTGGCTGAATTTATATAAACTTTTGGGAAATATAGGAAAATGGGACGAGGCGTCAGATGGTAGGGTAAGATTGATGTATTTAATAGTTCAGTTAATATGGATCAACATCTGCATTTGGTTACATCTGTATAAGCGCCTAACTTCAGCAGAGTTGTGCTATTGGAACTGAATTTGGACCAGTATTTTTAAATAGGCCCTGGTGCAGAATACCTGCCGAGATCTCAGTGCTGTTGTGCCCGGTGGCCCTGCAGAGAGGGTGTAATGCAATCTGTTAGTGTTTCTCCTGTAATTTTTAAAACACATTGAGGAGTAATATATTTTTTTATAATAGGGTACTCCCTGTCTCTTTAAGTAACTGTCAGATGTATGATGTCCTCGTGCCAAAATGCTACGGTCTGCTCCCTCTGAGCAATTGTTAATTAAATCCATCCCTTATTGTAGAGCCTGCCTAGTCTCTTACCCATTCTGCTTATCTGTGACACCAGATGATGCTCAGTAATTCATGGCCAACATGCTCCCACCTTCAGCAGGGCCTCCTGTGCACTGACCTTAGCCAGCTTCACCTTTTCCTTATTCCCAAAGAGGCAGCAATTTTTATCAACTTCTCCTGCTGACCAGATGAAGGCTCAGTGATAAATAAACGTTCTCCCACCCACCGCAGCCCCCCAGCTCTCACCGTCCCCCGCTGCCCACTGGGATGCAGAGCAATGGGAAAGCAATGGACTGTCCTCAAAGAGGGTCATGAGCTGCACTGCCAGTGGGGAAGAACTGCTTCTGCTCACCCAGATGATGTCGCTGTGTTGGCTGGAAACTCTCCACTTGGTCCTGGGCAGTGCCACCTGCAGATCCCTGCACCTACTAGTAAGGCTGATAAACAGGAGCTGGTAGGAATACTTTCATAGCTGACAAGCTGTTTCCCATGAACAGTGTCAAAGATTTAAAAGCCACTTCTGCAAATGGGACTTTCTGGCAAATACACGCTAAGCAAATCTTTTATTATTACCATATGGCTAGGAATACTCCCAGAGTTCTCCTGGAAATGGGTACTGTACCAGCAGAAAGCAATATTCTCTTGGCCTGTGCATTGCCTCAAGGGTATTTACCATGGTAATAAGATCAGTAATTCATCTCCTAAAATCACTGGGAGTACAAATGCTTATTTAAGTAGATGGTATCTTGATTGCAACTGAGTCAGGAGAGCTCTTAAAGCTGCCTATTTAGGCTACAGATCTTCTGTTAAAGGCAAAGGGCTGGTGGTTCTTGGTAAACATAAGAACATTGCGTTTCACAGCTACCTCACATTTTCAGCAACTCATGGTAGATGTATAGTACATCCCTTGGTGAAATGAACTCATACAGATCTGTTAGGAAATTATGCCTCTTGCTTTTTTTTTCACTACTTTTTGTTTGTTTTTTTACTTTCCATAGCAATGTAGTGGGAAGAGATACAAATCTCTTCATCACCAAATGGTTTGTTAGAAGAAAAGAGGCAGAGAAAAAGCCATCACTGCTATATTTCAACAGCATTTGGGGTCACCTGAGCTCCACTGCACTAGGTGATGCAGCACCAACAGAAATTAAGAGGTAGTCTTGGCCCTGAAAGGAAAAATCTGGGGAGTAAAATTATTTACTGTGTCACAGAGTAATCCAGTGCCAGGGAGTCTGCAGACTCGGTGGCCTCTGCTGTGGAAGTCCTGGAGGCTTCCAGGCTTGCCCAACTGCTTTTATTTTGTGTACAAAGCTGATGAAGAGAAAACAAAGGCATACAAATGAAAGTTGAAAGACCTGACTTCTAATCTCACGCTGCTGCAGGAACTCTTCACAGAATGAATGATATGATCCAGAAATAGAGAAATTCGTCAAATTGTTTTATTTGAGGAAAACCATAATGTGTCCTCTGAGAATCCAGAATGAGTGCTTATAGCCCTATGGCAGAAAAGTCTCAGGTGGTCCAGAGTGATTCACATTGGTGATGTGGTATTGGAGGTGAATCACAGAAAAACTGAGCTAGAAGTGCCTAAACCAGATGTTTTCTAGTTTGCCAAGAAACCTGAGCAAGGATATGTGGCTGAAATGGAAAGCATAAGGCATTTTCCTGCAGAATGCTTTTCTGTGCTTTAACTTTGTCAATGCTCTTCCTCCTTCTTACAGTTATTAAGCTAAATATCACTGAGGCATGTGCAAATTCGATGAAAGAAATATTAGTTTGTACTCTCTATGTGAGAAATTAAGGATTTTTCAGCAGGCAAAATTCTGCCTTGTAAGTCAGAGTTTTTGTCTTAATTTTTTTTCTGCAGTCATAGATCATAACAAACATTTGAATTAACTTTCACCAGTTTTATCACTGATGTCAGATAGAGTATGTATGCAAATTAGACCAATACGTTTTGGTGAAGTTCTTTGGATTCCACCAGAATTCGTAGAATGGTATTTCATTATTTAACACTGCTTAACACTTTAGGTAGCAGTTTCCATCCTCAGTGACAAGCTTATTAATCAATGCAACACCTCTGAAAGGAGCATTTCTATGTATTCCAATTAGAGTGAGAAATTTAAAATGTATGGATGTGTTCTGAAGTGTTGGTCAAACAGCAGAAGAAACCCAGGCTTTGAATTTGGAAGTTTGTGGTTTCTGTCCTCTGCTCAGGCCAGACTCCTGTGGCACACAGGTCCCTTTATGTGCTTAACGGATCAAGCTCTGCTGGGTTTAGAGCCACACATCAGCGTGGTGGTGCTCCAACTTTGAAATGTAGTGATAACACAACTGATTTTTATAATTGCTGCATAGAGGACCTGAGATGGGAACATGGCATGCGGCTGCAATTTGTTCTTTCCAGCTTTAACACTTGCAGGAGCTGGAAGATTCATCTCTAGTGCACAGTAAATAGTGTAGTGCTAAGTAACCTCTGCCTTCTTTCATGCTAATAGGTGTGACAGTGTTGGGTTAATGAAGAGTTCAATCCTGATATAGCAACAGTAATTTCGTCTGGAGTGAAATCTTTTGAGTTCCCTTGTCTCTTTCCTGTGCTTGCTGTAGTAGGACACTTATGGTACTGCTGCTCTATTCCTGTAGCCAAGACAGTGTCAGATGAATGTTTGCTGCCAGCTACAACTTACAAAAAATGTATATTTTATCCAATAAGCTTGATTTAGGAAACAAGGTTTGTTAACTGTTACCACCATTCTGGTGCTGCAAAAGAGGCCTCTTGTAAAGGGTATAATGAAAGACAAACCATTCCAATTGGTTACTAGAGGCATATCAGTAAAGATTACCTCCTGCATACATCAAATGATTGATAGCAAGTTTTAAAGCTTTTCCAGTTCTCTGCTAGTGCTATCCAACTGCAATAAAACACAAGGATTTCTCTTATACCCTTCCAGATAACCCCCCTCGTGCTTCATGTAAGAAGAGCTTCAAGAATAGCAAAGAATAAAAAATCTCAACAAAAAGGTACAAAGAGTTATTACTTTTAAGTAGCTCAGTCCATTGCTTTTAGGGTTGACTACCTAAAGAATAGCAGGAGAGGAACTGTTAATATGTTGTTTCTTTGCTCTTGGTAGGCAAGCCTCTGAGGCCTTGTCAGCAGCCCGACATAAATAAACTGCTGTGGCTAGCAGCCCAAGACATGCCCTGTTGGTGAGGAGAGATGATCTGGAGATGACCAAACATCTCTGGCAAAAGCTCAGCAAGCATGGCCCCTGTGCTGATTGCCTTGATGGGACAAAGCAGGGCCACAGGTTAAATGGTGATTTCTCCATCACACCTACCTGTGAGGTGCAGGCTGCAGTTTTGTTCTTACTCCCTGTCTCCTTGATGGCTGAGTTGCTGGTTCTACCCATGAGTAGGGCAGAATGTCGTGGCTCTCTAGGGGAATCCATGTCCATCAGACTCCAAGACCTGGGAAGCACCTTGAAAATACTGAGGCTTATCTGCTTCATACAGACAAAGCCTGCTTGGAAATTAGCCCCAGCTACTAGGTTTGGAATTGGATCTGTGTCCAAATATCCCTTAAATTTAAGGGATATTTGTCCTGCTGATGTCAATGATATTTCTATTATTTACACTACTGGCTGAGGGTTCTAACACTGTGTTTTAAACCACAGAGTTATAGTTTGATTTATATGTAATGTAAAGATAGGTATTAACTGAGAAGTCTAAATTTCTGGAACTCTCTCTAGTAGTTCTTATTAAATTCACTACTCCAGCATAATGTATCTTTCTGTTCTAATCATAGCATTGCTCTACTTGGGCACGGCACATCAAAGGGGCTACCTTGCTCTTGCAGCAGAATTCTCCTTAGGTTCAGTCACTCTGGGGACCTATACCAAATTTCCCCAGTTCTGTGCACAGGCCAGATTTTCAGCTGCCTTTTAATCTTTGGCAATTTGATTTTATATGGAGAACTTACAGGTGACAGCCTGGCTACATTGAGACAAGTAGAATAGAAACCATGTCAGAACAGTCCCTGAAAGTCCTACAGTGTGCTTAAAGCATTTCAAGAGAACCCTTGATCCAAAGTATCAAAGGGTTACAGTAAGATCAAGAAGAATTAAAACTGATGGTGTGCCAGAAATCACGTGCAGCACAAGGTCATTACTCACCCTCGTTAAAGCGGTCTCAGTACTGTGGCCTGATCTGAAGCTTAATTGAAAAGTTTCAAATGATGCATTATAACGAAGACAAGACAGCCACTG